TTGTTATACTTTTTTAAGGTTTACACATTTTTATTTTACATGTATGAGTGTTCTGCCTCCAAGTAAGTGTACCCATATGTGTGTGGTGCCCAGGGAAGCCAGACCCCCCCACAAAGGGTGCTGGGTCCTGGAATGGAGTTACAGAGATGGTTTGTGAGCCACTGTGTGGGTGCTGGGAACTGAATCCAGGTCCTCTGCAAGAGCAGCCAGTGCTTTTACTTCTGATCCTTCTCTCAATTCCCACTACTTATTTTTTAAGACAAACACTCCTTGGCTGTTTGTTTGTTTGTTTTGAGGTAAGGTCTCTTACAGGTCTGATGACCTTCAACTCTGGAGTTCTGGGTTACAGGTGTGCACCGTCACATCCGGCTTTTGCTTTTTATGCCTTTATTTTTTCTCTTTTTTTTCTGAAATGCCCTGTGAATTCAATCACACAGGATTTAGTCTTTGAACCTGACTTGTGAATGTGTTTACTCTGATGACTCCACAGCACTATGGGGAGTTGTCGGCCACTGGGTTTCTTGTGTCTACTTTCTTGGTTTCCGCTTTGGGGCTCTTAGAAAAAAACCCTGTGAACATGTGTGTGCTAACCTGTCTTTGGATGCACACCTTATTCTCTGGTTGGATGTAGCAGGACTGGGTTATGACAGCTTTATAAGAATCCGAAGAAGGCAAATTTGCTCCTTTGAAAATACCACTCAGGGTACTGGAGAGGGGCTTCAGCGGTTAAGAGCACTGGCTGCTCTGGGCAGAGGACCTGGGTTCCCAGAACCCAACATGGTGGCTCACAACTGGCCATAGCTCTAGTCCCAGGGGATCTGATGTTCACTCTGGGTTCTCTAGACAGCAGGCACACCTGTGGCGCCCAGACATACATGCAGGTAGAACATCCTTACACATAGAATAAAATAAAAAAATAACATAAAAATTCCACTTAGGCCAGGCACGCTGGCTCACGTCTCTAATCCCAGCCCTTGAGAAGCTGAGATAGGAGAATTCCCGATTAAACCGACAAGTAGGGCAGCGAGATGGCTTAGCGGAAGTCTGCTGGCCTGAGTTTGACCCCTCCACCCCCCACCCGAGAGCCCTCCTGATGAAAGAGAAGAGCAGACTGGTACAAGTTATCCTCTAATTTCCACACATACACCACAGCATGGTGCATACGTGCCCATACACACGCACACAAATAAATAAATGATAGAAAAGGATGCGTAATGACGAAAAAAAGAAAAACATTTGTTCAATGTGACCACATTGGGAAGAGGAACGGAAAAAGAGGCCCCGGGATCCCAGAATCATGAAGGTTAGGTTTAAAGATCTGTTTTATTATTTTCAATTATGTTGGGGGGGGGTGTTGTGCCCATGAGTGCAGGTACCCGCAGAGGCCAGAAGAGGGCGTTGGGTCCCCTGGAGCTGGAGTTACAGCTGACTCACGTGGGTTCTGGGAACCAAACCCCAGTCCTCTGTCCAGTGTTGGAGTATATGGACCATGTGGACCTGCCTGGCCCCTGCCAGCCCCTTTCCTGACCGAACAGGGCTTCCCCCCCCTTCTGCTCCTTGTGCCCTGGAACTGCCAGCATCTGGGATTGACTCCTTTTCAGTAAATTGTTGAGCACAGGTTTTTCAAGGCCTGAGTGTGGCCATCAGATAGATCAGTCTCCAGTTCTGGAACCTTGGACACATCCTTTAGCCTCTTCTGTGAAATGAGTTGGGGACAACTGAGTGTCAGTGAGCGTTTACTGTTTACAGTCTACACAGTTCTTTGCCTAACTAATTTGTAGCTGAGGTCGTTATCATTGTTTTGTTAATATTGTTAATTGCCTGAATGCTCTAGAAGCCACTGCCAGGTGACTTTTTGTGGTCCTGGGGATGGAACTCTGACCTTGCCCATGCTCAGCTAGGGCTTAATCACAGAGTTGCACCCTAGTCCCACAGGTGGCTTGTATTCAAGAGCAGAAGAGCTCTTTCGAGGAAGGAAGGGCAGTCCTTTCCTCTGTGACTGACATTTGTAAACTGCCTGGCTGTGACATGGGTTGGACTGAGTCAGGCCAGAGACGCTTCTGCCTCATCTTACCGTATGTGCATAGTTGGACATCGCCTGGTGCAGAAGGGTGGCAGGGGGGCTGGAGAGATGGCTCAGAGGTTAAGAGCACCGACTGCTCTTCCAGAGGTCCTGAGTTCAATTCCCAGCAACCACATGGTGGCTCACAACCATCTGCAATGAGATCTGGCGCCCTCTTCTGTATACATAATAAATTAATAAATCTTTAAAAAAAAAAAAAGAGTGGCCGTGGTCGTGGTGTCTCTTTGCAGCAATAGAAAACTTGACTAAGACAGGGACGCACAGCCTACCCCTCTGTCCTGAAGGCCTAAGAGAAGATGACCAAAGTACCGAATCTGCTGAACAGAAGGCAGCGCCCCATAAGGTCAAAGCGGACCCAATGCCTATATCATGTTAACCCTGGAGTCTGCAGGGAGCTGGGCAGCAGATTAGAGCCTTCCCAGGGAGGGGCCAGTGGGAGCCAGGCCAGCAGGACTGCCTGGAATCTGGGCCCAGGGCTCTCTTGAGAGAGCTGAAGAGGTTGTCATTCAAGAGCAAGGATAAAATAACAGGCTTCTGCAGCCCTCAAAAGCAACCCTATCTCTCTCTCCTGGTGGCCAAATCCCATGTGTTCACAATAGGATGGAGACACTGTAAAAAGACATCTGACTGGTGGCCCCAGCTATCTCCGATCTGACCTTCTGTTCCCGTTTCAGACTTCAGAGTGGAGTCTCCTTGTCCCGGCTGCTGGTTCATATTTTCTTCTGCATTCGCTCCAGGCATCTTCAGAGACCCAGGCAGAAACCAGCCAAGTGGAGACCTGGTTTTAGAACCGCGTGGCTCTGCCACTGTCTCCCTTCTCCCGCTGATCTCCTGGCATGGCTAGCTTCATCATGGGTTTGAGCATGTGATGAAACTGGAGTATGAGTGGAGAGCTTCTGTATAGATGTGTCCCCAGATGACGCCACCATCTGTGACCCAGGAGCAGTATCTGGGTGGCTGGCAGGGATCTGAGCTCTATGAGGCTGGAAGCAAAGCAAATTTGGTGGCAGTCCGGGTGATGGATGTGACAGCCTGCAGCATGGGCCTTGTTCCTAGGCTGCTGGCTAAGTCCAGACCTCTGCTTGAAGTGGCCTAGGTGTCCACAGCAAGTGGGGCTTGGCTCCAACATGGAAGGCCCTTGCTTGCTTTGTGGCTTTCTCTGGACCAGAGTGAGCACCCTGGCCATCTTGTTGAAGTCAAGGATGGTGTCAGAGCTCAGGTCACATCCTGCCTCATTCCCACATCAGGTCTAAGCCCTACCTGCTGCCAAGAAGGTATTGGTAACTCATCTGTAACCTCCAGGTGGGCCCACTTCCAGTAGGCTATGAGGATCAAGAAAGAACATCTGATTTACACCATTGCTGTGTCTGCGGGTCAGAAAAAGTGCCCTGATTGTCACCCTCTTACCCACCTTAGCTGACAGCGAGTATGATGATCTTCTCCTCCTTTGCTCACGGCAGGGTGAACTTAAGTGAAAATTGTGACATTCTCCCCACCCCCTGCCCGCAAAGTTCCTTTTTTTTTTTTTTTTTTTTTTTTGTTTGTTTGTTTGTTTTTCGAGACAGGGTTTCTCTGCGTAGTTTTGCGCCTTTCCTGGAGCTCACTTGGTA